AAACTATCTAAAATGCGATAACTATTCTTTATATTTTGTTACAAAGCCGTAGAGCATCAGAGGGAAAAATTTGGTTCCCCCCTCGTTAACCGAACAAAACCGGAATACCTACTATTTCAGGATATTTGAATGGACCGGCGATTTTTTCGAATAAAACTCAATCCATCCCTGAACACACCGACGAAGACGATCTACTTCAATCTGGTATGATCCTGTCCCTCTTTGAGAGTTTTTCTAGTATTCGGCTCCCAGCAGAAGCCAGCAGTCAAACCAGAAGAGGACACTCACCAAAACAACAGCTACGAGGAGCTAAAAGACGGTAATTTTCAAAGCTCAGCGGATGGCAATTAGAAAATCATTTTCAGCATTCCTCCTCTGGGCTACTGCGCGTGGGTTGAATGCGTCGACTTCGGAAGCCCGTCGAAAGGACGTCAGAGGATTCATCAAACCACATATCACTTTTTTGGCAAAAGCTTGACCTGGATTTTAGTATACGGGATGGACCGAGAGGCAGCTACGCAGAAACTTGCCGAAAAAGTGACAAGTATTGAGACGTAAGTTTGACGCTGTATGAAATTCTATCAGCGCGGAGAGAAGGCAAACAGAACTTTAGGAAAACTCTACCATCACAATTTTGCATTCTGGACCAATTGAAATCGTCTGCTTATTTGAACCCCGACAAGTTTATGCCACTGTTTCGCGTCGTAATTCGAGATCTGCAGATGGCGGTAAGCGATTTAGAAAAGGCCTACGAAGCGCAACCATATACGCGGCTATTCTGTGCACTCGCTGACATTGCGGCTAGTTTACCTTCCATCTGCATCCCTTCAAAATCGGTTCTCGAAAAAAGAAAATATAGTTAATTGGGGTTACTATAACTATGTCGCAAATTTTATATGGTGGAAATTCCGGATATCGAAACCCGAGAAAACCCAGAATCCTATGCAAAAAAACTGTTGACATTCTGAATTTCGACATTCTGTCTCGACATTCCGAATTTTGAAATCCTGATTTTCGACCTTATGAAGCAACTCAATTAATTGTTTTAGTACAGCAATGCAAATATCTGTCGTTACCTCGCCGAGGGTGGCTATGACGTTGCTGAAAAGGGAGCCTTCGACTTTATCGATAAAATAACGGTCGTGAAGTTTGCCGAAATCTACGAAAACTTGCGTGCGAGGATTGTAAGCTTTTCCTTGGTCGTTGGATCGTTGTTTTTTTAGGAATATGCTAATGACATGAAAGAGACCGCATGCAAAAGCCTGCGCTCTCGTGGAATGTTGCTTGGACTCCCCGCACATTTCACCAAAATTCAAACAAACCTCCGCTCTGCCTGCAAGGGCTATCTTTGAATTTATTTTCCAGATGATCATTCGTTTTTTTTCTGTCGTTTTACGAGTTCGTAATAAAAGACATTTATTTACCGACATATATAATGTGCTGATAAAATCTGGAAACCCCTATCGCCTACCCTTCACGGTTAATTAGACACATCACCACTCGGAGGCCGGCATATCATATCGGATAGTAGATCTATCTTATCGTAGCCGGCATTTCAATATTCCGGTCTGGAAGTTTGTTGATTAAGCGGCCGACTAATAGTTGGTCCTAGACTTTTAGCGGGGGGGGGGGGGGGGGGCTAGCATGTGAGGAAGCACTTTCTGTTTTTCTACCTGTTGATATATATTACCTACCAGACGGTTCCAGACGCTAATGTCCACAGATACGCCCGTAGCGGATACCCCTTAACAACTACTAATTAGATACCTTCCTGGTGGCTTTAGATACCTCCGCTAGCTAAAATCGTCTTAAAAAACTACTTACATACTTTCCTAGCATCAGACACCCCCTGATAGCCGAAACTTCCGTGGCAAGAGATTTTGTATAAAAATCCCCCAAACTTACATATCTTTTAAATCGCTTCCGACACCCCCCATTCGAGTTTTTCGTTGATTTGCCTTTTGTATTCCAGAACGCTATGGTTTCCCGGTGGCTGATACTTCTCTGCGCTATGGCCATAGGTGCATCAAGCTGGCCGGAAAGCCACAGCTCTTACCAATGCGGCCCCTTAAAAGGTGAGCGTATCTCAAAATTTTGCGACGCACCACAACTCACGTTGCCAAGCTTTCAAAAAAGCCTGAATTCCAGAGAACCCAGGCTGCTATCTGCGCCAGGATTTTCATATGAGGAAATGGAACACGGACGATCTCAATCAAATGCCGAAAAATGTCATCAACTTTTTCAATCACAGCGATACAAACGCCGAGCTGGTTTTGACGGCCAGGAAAGCAAATAAATCGGTCGGCGCATCAGTTTTCTTGCCATCAGTATTTTATCGTCGAGACCTCTTTTGACAACGGTTAAATGTTGTTCAGCTTGATTTATATCCGGCGGCCCTGCATTGGCGTTTGGCGGCGGCTGTGATGACGCACCCTCGCAGCTGGGCAACGATCGATGTATCGAATTTCCTGCCAAGTGCTGAGAGAACGCGGTTTTACGAGGTCAGTTTTTTGCTAGAATCCAAATTATACAATTTTGTGCCTTATCGACTTTTCAGGAATATGTCCAGGAGCGTTTTGATTTTGGCGCAGCGGCGGCGCCGGAGGATTGGAAAATTCAGAATTCAACAAACACCCAGGATGCCTGCAAATCTGTCCAGCCCCAGAAGACGTTGCAGGTGAATTTGAAAACTTGTAGTTTCCACAAATTAGATTTTAGAAAATGTTTTCAAAGATTCTGACCTGTCATCCGTTTGGTAGAAGTGATATTGAATACACGGAAGACTTACTCGGGCAATTCGATGAAATTGAGAGACACTCGAATTGGGTGAGACAACAACCTGAAGGAAGTGGTGAAGTCGAAGAAGAGACTGTTTCGGAAACGTTTGAAGCGTTTGAAAAACGTAAGTCCTTTTCTGCGATACGACGATTCGGTATCATACGATTCTCTACGGCCCTGACAAAATCTATCTAAACAATTTTTATAGAATTTTACATAGTTTTCAGATATAAACCCGATATAAAACAGAACTAAGTTTTTGAAAAATTTTTACATTCTGGTCAAACAGTCCAGAACCGGATTTTGGGCGTTTCTGCATCAAAAACACTGAATGACGCACACGTCCAGGTTATTTGAATGGGCCCGTGATCTTTTCGCCAAATGCTGCCCAATTCGTTCCGTACCAAGACAAAAGTGACGATCTGCTTAAATCTGGTATGCTTCTATTCTCAGTAAAGAAATTTAGGTACACAACGGATAACAGGGTGGGAACAAAATAAGAGGGATTGCTCACTATTTTGAATGTCTAAGTTAGAGCGGGGATTTCGCGATTGCCATTCGAAAGAGAGTCAAAAATATACTAAAAAAATGTCATATAAAAAGTTTCTAGCGTAAAAAATTTCGATGAAAACGACGGGCACCACATAGGATAACGGGGGACCTATCTTCGACGTTTCGAATCCTTTCGATTTCTCAAAATGCCATTCGATGGAGTAGCTAAACCATACTAATAATGGCTTTTTTATAGCGCGAAAAAATGATTTTTAAACTATTTTATTGTGAAAAACTTTGCTCCCCCCGTTATTTTTTTTGCACCCCGTTATCCTAAGTGTACCGAAATTTTTTGCCAGTGTTCGGGTCCGAGCAGAGATCAGCAGTCAAACCAGAAGCGGACAATCACCAAAACAACAACTATGAGGAGCTAAAAGACGGTAATTTTCAGACATCAACGGATGGCAACCAGAAAATCATTTTCAGCATTCCTTCTCTGGGCCACTGGGCGTGGGTTCAATGCGTCGACTTCGGAAGCCCGTCGAAAGGACGTCAGGGGATTCATCAGATCTCGTAAGGTTTTCTGAGCAACCCACAAACTGGCTTCGTTCAATAACTGATTAACCAATTATAATTAACTGATTTTAGTATACGGGATGGACCGAGAGGCAGCTACGCAGAAACTTGCCGAAAAAGTGGCAAGTATTGAAACGTAAGCTTGACGTTGTATAACAATTTGATCTAAACAATGAGAAGGCAAACAGAGCTTTAGGGAAACTTTACCGTCACAATTTTGCATTCTGGACCAATTGAAATCGTCTGCTTATTTGAGCCCCGATAAGTTTATGCCACCGTTTCGCGTCGTAATTGGAGATCTGCAGTTGGCGGTAAGCGATTTAGAGGCCTACGAAGCGCAACCATATACGCGACCATTCTATGCACTTGCTGACATTTCCGGCTAGCTTAGCTTCCTTGCAAGATCGGCATTTTCCCTTTAAAAAGCAGTTTTCAAAATGTTAGAAATATAGTTAATTGGGGTTGATTAACGATGTTGCAAATCATAATGTGGAAATTTCAAAATGCCGTAATTCAGGATATCGACATCCTGGAAAACCCCAGAATCCTAAGCAAAAAATTTCGATTCTGAATTTCGACATTCCAAATTGCGTCATTATGTAATTTCGATCATATGAGTCTCGGCATAATGATAGAAAATCAATTAATAGCTTTAGTACAACAACGCAAATATCTGTCGTTACCTCGCCGAGGGTGGCTATGATGTCGCTGAAAAGGGAGCCTTCGACTTTATCGATAAAATAACGGTCGTGAAGTTTGCCGAAATCTACGAAAACTTGCGCCTCAGAATTGTAAGATTGCCGTCGATCTTCGGACGGCTCTGTTTTAGGAATATGCTAATGACATGAAAGAGACCGCATGCAAAAGCCTGCGCTCTCGTGGAATGTTGCTTGGACTCCCGGCACTTTTCACCAAACTCCAAACAAACCTCCGCTCCGCCTGCAAGGAGTATCTTTGATTGCTGATTATTTCGGAAGAGAAGACACTCCGCCGGCATTTTTTAACTAGATTGCATTTGCATTTAACAATGCGTCTTGCAATAAATATAGCGAAACTTGATAGGTCTCGCTAAATATTATGTGCATCTTACGTGATGCTTCTACCATGGCTTAATCGTTTCGAAAATAAATCTACAACCTTTTTGGCAAATCTGAGCCCCAAACCGGACAGACGGAACCTTGACCCTGAGCCATCAATCGGGCCCGGCCCCCCGTGAATGAACCTCAGCTAGGGTGACGGCGATGTTATATGGCGACATTTGCCGTTAGTTTAAACTTAATCCACGATGATCTCTCCACTGTCGCTATTATTTGCGAAACGAAACGAGCCTTACGCTAACTGTCTTATTTTCAGGCAATCTACTTATTTTGTTCAATGGTGTTCGTTCCGCTGACATTTTTGTGCCTCGTCGTCATCGGATCAGCTTTGTTGCAGGGCGGAAAATGGTTCGACACATGTGGTCCCCTACGCGGTATCAGCAACTTATTTTTATTTATCCTACTATATATAAAAAAATAGTGTTTGTGTGTGTGTGTGCATTTGCATGCAACTTTCGTCAGGGTGTCCAGAGGATATCTCGAGAGGAGATGGGTTTGAGGTGGTGTTTGATACGTCATTAGATGCGTAATGGCCTGGAGATGACTGCACACATATCAGATTTTGTAAAATATGGTGTTTTCGACATTAAAATTAAGTTTTTCTTAAAATATCCGACACCCACTTTGTTAGGATAAAATTAGCATACGCCGGAAGTCGCTGTGGCCTATGTGAAGGCTCAAAGGGAACGTTTTTCATTTTTTGTCATCGGAATTGGGGCACGATTATGCAAAACGAAGAACATCATAGGGTTAGACGGGGCCAGGGTTGAAAAGTCGCGAAGCGGCTTTTCAACCCTGGTTTGTGTTAAAAAAATAGTGTCTGTGTGTGCATTTGCATGCAACTTTTGTCCGGCTATTCCGCACGTATCGGGCCAGGGGGAAGGCTTTTAAAGGGATAGGGGCGGCATACAGGGCCGTAACAAACCCAAATTTCGGGGGGGGGCGACCCCAAAAAATTTTCACCAATATGACTAAAACTACAGCGCCGCAGGCAAAATTTTTGAAAACATAGGGTTTATAACACTAAAACTAGTGTTAAAAATAGACAAAAACAGCGCCGCAGGCAAAAAATTTTTTGGAAAAATGAAATTATAAGGGTCCCCCCTTATGAACTTTTCGGCCTTCGGCCGATTTCGGGGGGGCGGCTCGCCCCCCTCGCCCCCCCCCCCCTCTTACGGGCCTGGCGGCATAAGACAATCGATTACGCGCGGGAACGAAAATGTCTCTGCGCCTCTCACTGAGTGCCCTCTCTCGCCACCGCATCTGTTGAACTCCCTCCCCCTTAAAAAGCCGCGAAGCGGGTTTTCAACCCTGCTTTTTATTTATTATTTTAATTAGCGCAAGGGTAGAATGAATGACTTGGGTTAGTTTTGTTCCGAATGCCGAGACTTTTTTCTAGTTGTCCATTTGGCAAAAACAGTCCAAATAAAAACTAAACCCTTAAAAATGGCGAATTTCTTCATGAATATAAAAAATAGTGTCTGTGTGTGTATATATTTGCATGCAACTTCCGTAAGTATGTACCGCACCTACAGCCTCAGGGGAAGGTTTTTAAGGTATGTTTGATACGTCATTAGATGCGTAATGGTCCCGAGATGGGTGCACAAGTATAAGATTTAAGAAAATTGGCTGTTTTCGCTATTAAAATTAAGTTTATGCAAGGATATCCAAAAACCTCTTTGTTAGGGGGCAATTAGCATTGACCGGAAGTGGCCGTAGCCTATAAAAAGGGAGGGAGGGTGCGCTTTTCATTTTTTTGATGATCGGCATTCGGCAAGCCCTATGTGAAGTCAAATTTTCAGAACTCCTAGACGGGGCCAGGGTTGAAAAGCCGCGAAGCGGTTTTTCAACCCTGGTTTCTTCATGAAATGCAGTGTAATGCAATGAAAAAAATCCGTAATGTAGTGAAATCAATGATCGAGTCATGCAAATCGAAGAAACTCCAAGGATCCTCCAATTTGCAAATTAATGGCTCGCGGAAACAAATCTTGAGTTTCGCTGAAAGCCCCGATTTTTAGAGGACTCGGGCTGCTACCTTTACAATGATTTCTTTCAACCAAATTGGACGAAAGAAGAGCTCGGCAACTTGCCGACACATCTCACCAAGTTTTTCGACCACAGCGACACAATCGCCGAGATCATTTTAACGGGCGTGCGCGCAGGGGAGTATGGGGTAGGTTTTTTTATTTTCGCCTCTCCGACCGTTGATCGTTTGCAAACCGTTGCTTCGGTCTAAAATCCCTTCAGTACCGCCATTATCAGTCCGCCGGGACATGGTTTGGCACGGTGCGTCGCATCAGGGAAGATACGCATCATCTGAAGATCGATGAATCGAGTTTGTTGCCGAGTGACGAGCGATCCAAGTTCTATAAGGTAATTTCGAAAAGAGTGACCGAACCGGGTCAACTTTTTTGTTGAATAACACTACTAATTTGAATAAGGCCAGCGCTACTCACCAGAAACAGGGTTACCAATAAAACAGAGACTCCACCCTCACACCGGAAAGGGAACGGTCGGATCGGAATGAAAGCTACACGATTCGGAGGCTCCCCGACATTTGCGGCCCGATCATTTGCGGCCCGACACTTGCGGCCCGAAAGATGCGGCCCGACATTTGCGGCCCGTCACTTGCGGACGCGACATTTGCGGCCCGACATTTGCGGCCCGTCACTTGCGCCCGACACTTGCGGACGCGACATTTGCGGCCCGACATTTGCGGCCCGACACTTGCGCCCGACATTTGCGGCCCGTCCTATTTAGCCCATTTTTCTCAATATAAAATTAAAAAGAGGGTTAGTAAGGGTCTAAAGCATTTTCAGGCAAGGCGCGCCGTCGCTTCGGATGGGCTGCCGCTCCACTCTTTCGAAATCGGGGCGCCTGGCCGCTACGCGCGCCTCGGGCGTCCCGATTTCGAAACCCTGTACGAGCTCGCACCCATCCGAAGCGACTAGGCCCCGGGTGGCACGAAGCCTTATTTTTAGGTCAATACCAGGGGACAAGCTATCAAAACCATTCAGAAAACTAGCCTTCCGGACGGTTAAAAGCTTCAGTTTTTGGTAATTAACTACAGCTTTGGGCCGCAATTGTCGGGCCGCAAATGTCGGGCGCAAGTGTCGGGCCGCAAGTGTCGCGTCCGCAAATGTCGGGCCGCAAGTGTCGGGCCGCAAATGGTCGGGCCGCAAATGTCGTGGCACCGATTCGGAACCCCTTGAAACGGCGAATTTGCGACTATTTTAAAAACCATGTTTTATTGGAACGCACTATTTGATAACGCATTTAAAAGCATTCAGTAACGGGATCTGTATCTGAATAACGGCAGTCATTTTGCTTGGAGAGCTCGAGGCAAATTAGCTCCAATGCAACCCCCAAAATCGGCAAACCTTACAAAATCGCTTTTACATCAAACAATTATCAATATTTATTGCAGGATTTTGCTGCGGAGCGCCATCGATTTCTCATTGGATTGGTGCGGGAACTAGAATTATATCGTTTTAATTTCACAAATGCATTAAGCTGCTGGAAGTTGGCGCAACCGCAGAAAACGCTGGCGGTACAAACAAGAGCTTGCAGATTCACGACAGTTTGATTTAGAAAATGTTCGACAAGATCCTCAATTGCCAGCCATTTGGAAAGAGTGATATTGAAAACGCTGAGGATCTGCTCGGGCTATTTGAAGAAATTGAGACACATCCAAATTGGTTGAAACCCAATGATAGCCGTAACCGTACTTTGTCAAAATCGTTGCAGGGATTTAAAAAATTGGAAAAACGTAGGCATCTTCTTTTTTAATTAACTCGATAAACTCGTTTTAAATTTGGGCATCTATAACTAACTCAAATTTCAGGCTATTTGCGTGGACCGATCATTTTTTGGCTCAATAAACCCAACGAAACTGATTCCGGTAATGCGCGGATCGTTTTTAGAAATTAAATTTTAGCGATCGGACATGATGCAATGGAGCCTCTAGTAATTGCGAAACAGGGAGAAATGCAAGATGAGAAGCAGATAGCCTACGAAAAAGTGAAAGACGGCAAGTTTTGTGCTTTGACGTCTCCCAATCAGAACTTCAGAATTTCTGCTCTGGGCTACTGCTAGAGAGCTGAATGTGGTAGATTCGGAAAATCGTCTGAACGTGGCGCGAGGGTTTCTAAAGTCGCGTATAGTTTTCAAATGAATTCTCAACAAACTTCAGTGCATGGGAAAGATCGATTGAATGCCGTGCAACAACTTTCTAAGGAAATGGCAAGCGTTGAAAAGTTTATTTAATTTTTCCAGGTAAAAAAAATTAGTTTAGGGAACCTCTACCCTCGCAATTTTGCATTTTTGATCAACTGAAATCGGCTCATTATTTGGATCATGAGAGGTTTATGCCACTGGTGCGAGTCTTACTGCAGGATCTACAGATTGCGGTAAGCCAGTACGAGACAGTACGCTCTACGCGGTAACCCTGTGCTCCGTTGCCTCGTCGAGCGCGTTTTCCTTTTAGGATTGCTTTGATTTTCGCTTTAGAAGCTGTTTTCAAAACTTTTTGGTTCAGTACAACAACGCAAATATCTGCCGTTACCTGGCTGAGGGTGGCTATGATGTTGTTGAAAAGGGCGCCTTCGACCTTATCGATAAAATGACGATTGAGAAATTTATTGCGATTTACGAGAATGTGCACGCCAGGCTGGTACGTTTTTATTTTTTAATGATCTAAGTATTTAGGATTATTCAAGGGACTTGACAGAGAAAACATGCCAATGGCTTCGCTCCTCCGGCATTTTACGAAGCTCCCGGTGCATTTCGCAAAAACTCTCATGAAGCTTGTTTTGATCTGTTAAATAACTCGTATGTTTTGATAATCAATGCTAATCTTGATTTTTGCCTTCTCAATAAATAAATATCCGACCTTATATAATTTGGTCGCGTATCTTTGTGTGTGTGTGTGTGGATGTCAGTTTCGAGGCCCGATTTGAGGGCTTTCCCGTGTCCAAAATGCCCCGATTCTCCGTCACCTGGAGTAATCGACCTTCCTCTTTCCAATGACGTTTTCAGAATCCCGATAGAACACCAGTTTACAAAGTTAAAGCCGGTTTTACTCATTTTTGGGGGTCCGGGAGAGCTCATTAGCATAATGTGAAAAAAATAGAAATTTCTTCATTCTTGCCAGTTGCACTCGCGTGTGTGGTCGGTGGGGAAGGCGGTCCGAAGGACCCGAGCCATCAGAAAGTCAAATTTCTCATGGAAAGGCCGCATTCCAGCGCCCAAGGCCCGCGAAGCGGGTTTTGGGCGCTGGTAGAATATATAAATAAATATAAGAAGTTTTTCGAGCTGCCTAGAAGGATCGCTGATAAACGAAACCTTGACCCTGAGCCATAAATCAGGCACAACCCGCTAAAAAAGGGGAGCCATATAGGGTGACGGTTTGTAGCGAGCCTGATCTCGGTAGCTCCTTAAAACGTTTGCTGGTTAACAAACTCTTGATGATTATCTGCGAGTTTTACTGTGTGGCCCTGTCTTGTTGTAAGGTCCGCTACAATCCATCATTATCGCTGGCCCTTTCAATTTTGAGGGTTGCTTTCATTTGCTACCATAACACCGAATGCCAAAACCCGGAATGCTCATAGCCGCGAATTCCAAGACCCCGAAGAAACAGCCAAATCAGATCATCGAATTAAAATTATTTTGTCCATGGACCACCGGTTATTTCCTAAAGCTAGTTTTCTCGAACCGGCCTGACACCGGTAGTTATTATGCCATTTTCCAAATTTCGACATGCGAAGAAAAATCTTAAACGTATTTTACCGAAAAAACGTGGTCAAATGTTCTATTGATACCACACACGGTGTCCCAAAAAAAAAACACCTGCTCTAACTCGATGCAGAAGTATCGGATCAGAGGGTTAGTTACGCCATTCGGAAGCGCTTGAAACGGCGAGTTTGCAACAGTAATAATCTAAAACCAGATTTTCATTTAAATCCAGTATTTTACAAGCCGTTTTTTAACATTTTTGCGGTTTCCGGTGTTGCAATCGAACTAATTTGCCTAAATTTTTCCAAGCAAAACTGTCTGACGCGGCCGTTGATAGGATGAAGCGGCCGTTCCTAAGGTTTTTAAATGCTTGGTAAAATCGGCAATTTTACGAAAAACGTGGTTTTGAAGTTTGTTGTAAATTCGCCGTTGCAAGGGCTTTTCGATGATATCACTATCATTCCGATTCGATACTTTTCCTCGAGTTAGAGGGGGTGTTTTTATTTGGACACCCTGTAATTAGCATTCGTGGACGAATTAAGGATTTTGGAATTCGGGATTATCGAATTCGGGATTTTGGCATTATGATTACGGAATTCGACGTGATAAGAAAAGACGGCTGTTTTGACTAGGGATGCTCACCCGCGTTTTGTTTGCGTTTTGCACCACCATAACCCTGGCGACGGTCTGGAGCCGCGAGGGAGGATTTTCCAGTATATGCTCTAATGGTGAGCGACTGCAGATTTACAAAGACAAGGATGTCGGATCTTGGCAAAATCTAATCCCTTCGACGCGATATCCGGACTGGAGATGATACTTTCAGAACCGGACGACTCGGGTTGCCTCACCTACGTCGATCTCTTCAAGACAAACTGGGGCAGCGATGATCTCGACAAATATCCGGCGCGTGTGATTCAATTTTTCAATCACAGCGATGCGCTCGCTGAAGTGCTTGTGACGACCGCCCCCGAACGCATCGGAGTTGGTTCTTGATCGGCTGGCGGTTCTTTCGAATTATCGGGGGGACTTTTAGGAACCAATTTTTAAAATATAAATGATGGGAGTGTTTCTAAATTGTTTTTCCTTTCTTTATCTTTACAAACTACAAAAAAATATAGATTTTCCGGCCAAAAGTGGCCGTTTTTGACCAAAACTTCGGCTTTTTGAACACTTTTGAAAGTTTTTAGATGATTTTTCTAGTTAAAATATGGTTTTATTTTACTAAAAAACATCATGAAAATACTTTTTCTTGAAGATAGTGAGACACACAACTAACTGCTATTTATCTATTCTCTGCTTAAAATACTAGTTTTAAAAATTATAAATGCTTTTAGATAAGTACGTAAGCGCTGGCAGAGTGCGCACGCACTAGAATGCGGTGATAGGAGTGTTGCGTAGCCTACAGTCCTTAGCAAAAATATGTTTGAAACGTCATAACTTTCTTATTTTGAATTTCCCAATTTTTTTTTCAACTGAAAACGCTTTATCTCATCAAGCTTTATCGTTTCCTGTTCAAAAATTGAGGTTTTGTTCACATACCGTAAAGTGAACCAGCGATTTTCAAAAGTCTATAACTTTGTCCAGAAATGTTTCCCAATCGTTTTTTCAACTGGAAACGCACAAACTCATCGAGCTGCACCCTTTCCAGTTGAAAAATTTACATTTTGAGACCATACCGTAAAGTGAAATTTTCCCGTTTCCCCCAACCCCAACCCCCCTATAATGCTAAAGAACCCGGCTTCCATTGTTCCTGTAGGCGTTCCCCCCTAAAGTTATCAAAATTTTAGATATTTTTCGGCGCCTATGTGCCCTGGAATTCACTGCTCAGCTATATGGAAATCGGAAAGTATGCCTGGCTGCGCAACGATGACTATGTGAAAGTTGATGAGTCCAGCCTGTTTCCGAACGCGCAGCGTGATCAGTTTTATCAGGTTTGAATTTCCTTTATTAACGGGTCTTTTTGAGGTGAAGTTAAGCCCACCTAGCGTGTATATATCTGGCTAACATTTAGGAATTCGCCGAACAATTGGATGGTTTTTACGGCAGAATGTCGTCGTTGTGGGGTTATAAGCGCGACGAAGTGCCAAAGGCCTGCAACAGCAGTCAGCCTCAGAAGATGCTACCAGTATGGAGTGGATGTGTGCAACAAACAACAAAAAAACATTTTTAGAAAATCGTGACCGCACTCTTCCAATGCCAACCTCTAACAAAGAGTGATATTCAAAAAACGGAGCAGCTGCTGGGGTTATTTGACGAAATTGAGAAGCAGCCTGGCTGGGTCGCTGCTGATTCGGCGAATGATGATATTTTTGAGATGTTTGCGGAGCGTGAGCTTTTTGACAAGATAGTTAGCAAGCTGTACAGCTGGTTGAGACAGCTCCAATTTTAGGATACCTCTTCGGAAGCAACAAGACATCAAATAATGATTCTCTACCTCTTCTTGACGAGACAACGAAGATACTCGTCTCTGAAAAGGATCTGAATGAATCGACTATAAATTTGTTTCGAACCGGTAAAATTAATTTTTCATTTTGCATAATTGTTTCTAGCATTTGGTGCTGCCCAAGAGCGCCTTGCCCAAGCCGAGAACCGACAGAAAGACGGATATGAAGAGCTGAAAGACAGTGAGTATTTTTTGGCAAAATTTTCCTGCTGCTTGTCTATTCAAATACGATATATTTCAGAATATGTGCGTTGGGCCACAACTCGTGGTTTGAACAACAGCGATTCAGAGGAGCGCCAGAATGGAGCAAGAGTTTTTGTAAAATCGTGTAAATTTTGCAACGCTAGCGGCTTCTAAAAAAACTATTTTAGTCTATGGCATGGAACGATCAGACGTCTTGAAGAAACTTTCAGAAAAGGTGGCAGTAATTGAAAAGTAAGTTTTATGGTTTAATTGGCCATTAAAGTGCGGCCATTCCGGTTTCAACGCTAAATCTAGTTTTGCAATTTTTCAGTTGGTTCTAAAACGATGAATTTAACGAGGCAAATCAGTGGAGAATTTGCGAAAACCGACTAAAAACGAAATTTGTTACAAAAATTTGAAAAATTTAGAGAATCACCGCCCTCCGAATTTTGCATTATGGACCAACTCAAATCTGCGTATTATTTGCAGCCCGAGAAGTTTATGCTCCTTACCCGAGTATTATTACAGGATCTACAAACTGTCGTGGGTATTTTTTGTAACGTAAACTTAAGCAATATAAAGTGTTCTTGAAATTATCTATGTAAATTTCAGTACAACAACGCGAATATCTGCCGGCGCTTCAGCGAGGCGGGCTATGACGTCGCCGAGGAGGGCGCTTTCGACAATATCGATAAAATGGCGATTGATACCTTTACGGGAATCTATAAAAATATGCGCGCGCGATTGGTAAGTTTATACGAAAAGTTATAAAACGTTTTTTAGGACTACCTGGACGCTTTGCGAGAGAATGGACGTCATTGATTTGGCATCAATTCTTTCATTTCATTGAATTTTTTATTTATCTTACTTTTGTGATCCAGAAAATTGTGTTAATAAAATCTACATTAACTCGATATTTTAAATCATTGCTGCTGTTATGATCTATCTGTTTCTCAAAGAAATAAAGCTTTCTGTTGGTTAGATTCGCTGGGAAGTGGGATAGAGAATAGGATATCCTGCGGGATATGCTGACCTGGTTCCAAAATCGAGCAGCAGCTCTGTTGTGACTATCATAGCGCGCTTTATCCTTAATCAATAGCTTTGTTGATACATATCTAGCACTTTGCAATAATATTTCTTGGCTTATTAATTGACCACAAAGCCGGGCGTCCGAAAAAGCTGCCCAATGGCGTACAGGAGCAAGCCCGGATCGGGATGATTTTTATACCATTCAAAAATGCTTGAAAATGCGAGAAAACAAGCGCTTTTCATTTTTCTAAAATTATTTATTATTGACTTGATATCGAGCGTACTCTATCAAAAACCGCAAAATTTGGATGGGACATCGCACATGCGAGCGTCACATAAATCTAGCTTTTTCATACTTTTCGATCATAAACTGCAGTTCAATACTCAATCTTGTTTTTTGGCATTATTGAGATCTTTTGATAGATACCGGAATGGCCAAAATCGTATACTTTTCCGAACCGTAGGGCGCGTGTGGGCGGAGTGCTCCATTTTTTGCACACTTTGCCATTGACCAGACGTACTACTTCAGATCGTCATGGTCACCCGCTTATTGCTAACCTTGTGCATCACGATAACAGCATCAACGGTCTGGTCCCGCAACTCCTATTGCGGTGTATGCGAAGACCGTATGTCCAATGAATTTCAAACGCATTTTTCAAAAATAAATTGTATTGCGGAGGTGTTTCTAAATTTTTTATACTCTTCCTAAACCTGAAAACCTTACACATTATTTATTCAGAAAATATTAAAAAATTTAAAGAAAAAAGGCCAATTTTTCCTAAAATTCGCCTTTTTCAACATGTTTTGGTTTTTGGGAATAATTTAAAATATTTTAGAACCAGCGCCCAAAACCCGCTTCGCGGGCCTTGGGCGCTGGAATGCTGCCCTTGCATGAGAAATTGACTTTCCGATAGCTTGGGTCCTTCGGACCCCCCCCCCCAACCGACCACACACGCGAGCGCAACTTGCAAGAATGAGGAAATTTCTATTTTTCACATTATGCAAATTATCCTTCAGGGACCCTCAAAAATGAATAAAACCGGCTTTAACTTTGTAAACTTGTATTTTATCGTAATTCCGAGAACGCCATCGGAAACAGGAGGGTCGATTACCCCAAGTGACGAAGAATTGGGGCGTTTTTGACACGGGAAGGCCCTCAAATCGGGCCTCCAAACTGACATCCACACACCCACACACAAAGTTACACACCAAAATTATATAAGGTAGGATGGTTTTTCTAATTAAAATTAGTTATAGATTGCTAAACCTAATATTAAGCCAGTTTCTATAAAGTTACTAGGCATTTCTAGGCTTATTCAAAGAAAACCGACAACGCCGCCCGATAATGCGAAATAGCCCATTTAGGAGAGAAAGAAAAGGACCCGGGTTGTCTGACCTATGCCGATATCTACAAGACAAGCTGGGACAAAAAAGGATACCGACAAATTTCCGACGCATGTCATCAACTTTTTCAATCACAGTAATACGCTGGCCAAGCAGCTCGTGTCAGCCGCTCCAACAAGCAGACGGATCTCTTCTGAGCCGAGGCCTCCATCGCTCTTCTCCTTCTTCGACCCGAAACCCGGCAGCCTGGTTTCTTACCTTGTTTTTATACAGGGTGTCCCAAAAAAAACGACCCATCTGGCATTTCGCTGTGTTACATCCAATCGGCCCCAAATTTGGACCAGCGGTGTATCAGACCCTAAATAACAACAATCCTGACTTATAGCCCTGTAGCTATAGTAGTTCTCGAGTTATAGCGAAAACAAACTTTATTTTCCATTTTTCATAGGGTTTTCGTGGAATTAGACCCCCTAAACATTAAGCGAAAATGATCCGGCAGGCCTTCTTTACCCTAAGACATTTTTTCCAGATTAAAATTGATTAAATAAACCTTGATTTAAGCGATTTTTACAACGCAAAATTACCCAGGTTCTTAAGCGAAATTAGGGATTCACAGCCGGAAGTCGATGCAAATCGATGCAAAGTCCAAAAAAAGATAGCCGAAAAAACTGTTCAGAATTCGGGGAAAAGCAGTATTTTCGTCATAACTCGAGAACTACTATAGCTACGGGGCTAAAAGTCAGGATTGTTGTTATTTAGGGTCTGATACACCTTTGGTCCAAATTTGTGGCCGATTGGATGTAACACGGCGAAATGCCAGATGGGTCGTTTTTTTTTGGGACACCCTGTATAGCTACCAGCGCCCAAAACCCGCTTCGCGGGCCTTGGGCGCTGGAATGCGGCCTTTGCATGAGAAATTTGACTTTCCGATAGCTTGGGTCCTTCGGACCCCTCCCTTCCTCCGACCACAGCCGTGCGTGCAAATTGCAAGAATGAGGAAATTTGTTGTTTTGGAATAGCCCTCCCTGGCGCCGGACACACACACACACAGAGATACACCCCAAAATTATATAAGGTAGGATTTTTATATAGGGTGTCCCAAAAAAAAACACGCCCTCTAACTTGACGCAGAAGTATCGAATCGGAACGATAGTTACACAATTCGAAAGCCCTTGAAACCGCAAAAATCTTCAAAACTATGTTTTTATTTAAACGGGCCATTTTGTAACGTTAAGGAACGGTCTCTGCATCTAATTAACGGCTACTTCCGGGCATTTGCTTGAGAATTAGCTCGTATGCAAATTAGCTCGTATCAACCCCAAGAACCGGAGAATCTTACAAAATGGCTGTTAAAATACGGCATGTAAATAAAAACATGATTCTTACGATTGTTGCATTCTCGGCCTTTCAAGGGCTTTCGAATGATATAACTATCATTCCTACCCGATACGTCGGCGTTGAGTTAGATTAGGGCGCGAAGCGGCTTTACAACCCTGGATAAAGAATAAAAAAGCTCAGAAAAATTTTTGAATTCAGTTTCAAGGGTTTTACCATATCTTAAAGATCACGCGTTTAGGTCCACGACTACCCGCACGTGCCGTGGAGTACGATGCTTCGCGATATGGAAATTGGGGAACATGCTCTGCTCAGGAATCCTGATCATCTGCCGATCGACGAATCGAGCTTATTGCCGAATGCGCGGCGGGTCGAGTTCTACAAGGTCTGATCTCTTTCATTGTCATGCCGCCAACCATTTTCGAGCACAACCCAATTTTTTTTTCAGAAATTCGTCGAAGAACTGGATCGTTTTCACCGGGAATGGGATTCGGGGTGGAGTTATGACCGTGAAAGCACTCGATCGGCTTGCAAGGACAAACAGCCCCAGAAATTGCTAAAGGTATGGAAATTACAGCGTAGATCACGGGGTGTCCCAATAAAAACACCCTCTTCTAACTATCAGAGCGGAATGATAGTTACACCATTCGAAAGCCCTTGAAACGGCCATTATCCGATAATTTTCAAAACTATATTTTTATTTAAACGAGCCAGTTTACAAAGCAGTTAACAACATTGAAGAACGGCTTCTGCATTTATTAACGGCTACTTCCGGACATTTTATTTGGAGTAATTGAGGCAAATTAGCTCTTATCCAACCACGAAAAACCCAAAAATTTTACAAAGTGGCTTGTAAAATGGCGCATTCAAGTAAAACAAGGTTTTGAAGATTCTTGCAAACTCGCCGCGCCATGGGCTTTCGGTTGGTATAACCATCATTCGGCTTGAGTGCAGTTTACCGCCCCCCCCACCCCCCGCCCCAGCCGACCCCCAACTACCGTATCTCGGCCCTGTTCATCTACAGGCGTGTGAAGTATACCAAAATGTTCGTCTTGCTCTGGTGAGTTATTTGGTACACTTACACACCTGTCGATGAACAGGAGCCGAGATACGGTAGTTGGGGGTCGGCTGTGGCGGGGGCGAGGTGTTAAACTGCACTCGAATCTGTCGTTCCGATCCGATACTTCTGCGTCGGGCTAGAGGAAGATGTTTTTTTGGGGCACCCTGTACAAGCATGATCCAGGAAATGGGATCCCTATTCTTCCAATGCGAGCCCTTCGGAACGAGCGATGTTCAAAACACGGAGCAACTGCTCGGACTCTTCGACGCACTTGAACGGCAGCACCCTTTGAATGGTAATTCCTCCTTCATGAGCGAGCTTCTACTACCACCCCATAATGCCTCCAACGGACCCGTATACTCGGTGGAGAACCTGTTTCGATCTGGTAAATCCATTTTACTGTTTTTGTATTTGGTTCAAGCATTCCGTTCTGCGCCGGCGCCTCGACCCCGAGCTCTCTATCTACAGCAAGATGGGTACGAAGAGCTGAAAGACAGTGGGTCTTTTTTGAGCCAAAATTTCCTCTTTCGAGCCTTAGAACACAAGATTTTTGGTATCGGCCTGCATTGATCTTTTGCATTATCGGGGGGCGGGGGCGCATTTTTCTTCTTAGGATCTATTGTTTGAAAGATAAAAGTGGAAATGTTTCTAAATGGTTTTCAACCATTCCTAAGCGAAAAAACTATGTAAATTCTTATTAAAAATTGTTAAAATTATCGGTTTTGGACGCAAAATTGATCGAATTTTTATCAAAATTTCTACTTTTTCAAAACTTTTTAGATGGTTTAAGAAATATATGTTTTTGAAATCTAGGTTTTTTTTGTAAAACACTATTAATATACTTGCTGTTAATTTATGGCCCTTTCATTACAAAGCGTTCGGATGCCTTGACCCCCCGCTAAGCGTTCAGTACCAATTTTTTCCATAATACATCCGCTGGGCAACCAGACGCGGTCTACGCCAACGCGTTTTGGAACAACGTCACAATGAAGCGAGAGCTTTTGTGAAATCGCGTAAGTGCGGTTCTAAACTTCTAAGTGAATTTTAGTTT